AAAATATCTTATATAACATTTTGTTTGTAGTCTTGCATTTTGCTTTAAAAAGTGCGAGCTTTGAAGAGGTAGGTTTAATGTTTTGTTCATAGGTCACTATAAGAGAAGTGGTTTGGGGCAGCTCTTTCAAGCATTTTGCAAGTAGCGCAAAGCCAGTAGGGACTGTCTTTATTCCCACTAGTGCAGAGCCAAGCTAGATAGTCTTCAATACCATGTCTCCATTTGGTATTTTTATTTTTATATTTTTTAAAGATATATTTATGCATACAACAGCTGGGGTACAGGCCAGAGATATGGGGGGTGGGGAGTGTGTGAGGATCTACCAGAGACAGAGCAGGGAACAGACAGGTGGATTGATGGAAATACACTTCTGAGGGGAGCAGCGGGCAAGACAGGAGAGGTCTGCCATGCCATGTGGGTTTCTCCCTGCCTGGCCTGGGATCGAACTCATGCTACAGAGGCTGCGGATTGCTTCATAGTGCGGTGCTTAATCCCTTGCACCACCAGGGAGGCCACATTTGGTATTTTTAAAGCACTGTTTCTTCTCCCCAAACTTCCTGAGAGTCTATCAATTAGAGTTTATATATGCAGCTTATCTATATGGAGAAAATCTCCTTGATGTAATTTTGTAAAATTATTATTGTTCTTATGTCATCGTATTGGTTCTATTTCAATGCCTTGGTTCTTTGTACTTTATGTTTTTCACCATTGTTTTGCAGGTATAAATCAGTGGCTCTCAAAGGAGAGAAGGGAGAGGAGTTTTATCCTCCCTCCTCCGATAGGAGACTTTGGCCAGTTCTGGAGACATTTTTGATTGTCACAATCCTGGGGACAGAGGTGGCACTGACATCTAGTGTGGCGACACAGGGTTTGCTGCTAAACATCCTAGAATGCACAGGACAGCCCACCACAACAAAGAATTATCTGACCCGGAATGTCAATAGCGCTGAGGCTGAGAAATCTTGGTGCTGGGTAAACAGTACCTGTCCATGAAAAATAATGACTTGGAGCTATGAAATGATCAAGACTATCATGGAAACTTTTAGTATGGGAATTAACTGAATGAATGACCATTTTATGAGCAAATTCATCTCAACAACATCTTTGCACTTTTACTCAGAGGCTCTCAAATGTTTCATTTTAAGATGGTGGAAAATCTACACATTTAAATTATTATGCATATTTATTGATTTAAAAATTGAATGAAAACAGGCAACTATTGCTGCTTTTATTAATGTGAAGCCTTGGTGCTTCACTGATCCAAGGGATGAGCACATAGACCAAACAGCTGGAATATGTCTCTGGGATGAAAAAAAAATGAAGTTGTGAAAAAGAAATCTTTCCTCTACAAATGAGAGGATGATGCCATAAGGAGAAATAGATATGAAAGACAGAAGATAAAGGTCTTGTGAATGTGTCATGTTTACTGAGTGCCTCCATTCCTGAGTTGATTACTAAACTAGGAAATTGCTCCTTTAAAAAAAAATAATTTGAATTAGGTTTCTACCACTTGCAACTAAAAGAGTTATGACTAACATACCACTAGGTTAATATAGGCAGCATTTGAGGAATTAGCAATAGTGCAATGAAATATGAATTTTGAACTTGAGATTGGTCCTTTAATGACAAAGTTCTAAGATAGAAATTCTAAACCACTCATTCAGCAAACATTCACACCTAGCATGTACCTAATAAACTGTGCTAGGTGCTAGGCACAAAAAGACAAAACACAGTCTTTGCTTTCAAGGAACTCTCATACCATATAATATGAGTGCTATGTTAAAAGCAAGCACACGGAAACTCAAGGAGGGGCACTTAGCCCCAAAGGATCAAGAATAGTTTAGAGGTGGTGACTGCCTAAACTGAGCCTTGAGGACATTAGATGGTTAAAGCAGGGAATAAGGGCATTCTGTTTGGATAGAACACTAGTAGAGATTGAGAGAAGAGGAATACTATGTTAAAGTTGAGGCAGTTAGTAGTAATACATTTTGGTGGAGCAACAGGTACAGAGGACTGGGCCAGTAGCCACAGAGGAGACTGGAATAAAGGCCAGTGTCTTGACAATACTGATGAAAAATAGGGATTTTATCCCCAAAGCTTTGGGGAGCCACTAATGAATTTTACACAGAGGGTGGGCAACATGATGCATGTTACAAATATAACAGTGAAATGGAGAATAGTAGATATTTGGCAAGATTGTTACAAAAATTATAGATAACAGTTGAAGCTATGATCACCATGATCACCATCGTCAAGCCAAAAATTGCATCCATTTTCTTTTCCAAATATTGCTATAAACTCAAAATGGAGCATCCAGTTAGGTGTGATTTTTACCTAAGGTTTAGACTCACTTTAAGGTCATCACTAAGTCTGTAATAAAATGGAATCTAAATTCCAAGTCAGTCTCAGGAGTGGCTAGACCATTCTGTTTCTCTAAACCAGGGTATTTCAGACTGAGATGGCATTTCCAAGATCCTCCTGAAACTAAAAGGACCCATATCTACAAAGAAATCTTTTCAATATCTGAGGATTGGGAAGTAAAGTGGTGTATGACATATATCCATGACCTTATATTGACATTTTAGTCTTATATTAGTCTTTTAAAATATTTTATTTATAATCATTTATATTAGACTTTTTAAAACTCAATAAATGCTTCTTGGACTGAAATGCTAAAAACTGCTTCTTCTGGGTCAAGAAGGAGGAAATTCTTTGCAACATGAAACATCAAATCAATCTTTTCTATACTAAAAAAGGACAAAGGGACAAGTGGACAAAATAAGTTCACTTCAGGCTACCAACCCATTGCAAGATTTCTCTCTGGTGCTATAAGTCAGTGGGTCATGTAGCACATTCACTTTTTGACTGATTTCAAGGGCCCCTTTACACTCCTTATTTGGGTTAGTGATTTAGAAATTTTAAAGGGATAGAAGAAATTCTTTGGAAAACACAGTAACTTTAAAAAATGTAGTCCCTCAATTTAAAACAATAAAATCTATCTCACAGGGTGCTAATTTGTGTTAAAGGCAACAGCTTATCATAAATTAGAGGAAAATGGAAAACATATGAAAATATGGCATTTTATAAGTTAAGTTTGGAAGGAACAGGTATTTGCTACTTAACATTTTCTCCTATTTATTTTTATCAGATAGCTGTGTTTATGGCTTTAACCACCAAAACATGTTTTTCATGAAAATTTGGATTGTTAACATTTTTCCAGATAACCAAAGCATTTAAACAATTTAGAATATTTTTCTTTAGAAGAAGATTAAAATGAACATATACATCATTTATTTGTATAGAAAACCAAAGAAGATACCAACAGTAGTTTTTTTGAGGTTGAAATTGTCAGGTGGAGAGGAATTTAATTGTTTCACTTTACATCCTTTGGTATAATCTGCTGGTTCTAAATTTACATGAGCAGGTATTATATTAATAATTAAAAGAACAAAATAAATGGAATATTTTTCTAATTTGTATATGCACAGTCTTCAAAGCAAATGACTATGTTTTCTCTCCTTTAAGGTCTTATTTTGACAAGTCACAGAATACATACATATTCTTAATATATTCTCTCTACAATTCTATTCAAAGATATGCAGCTCACCTTGAAATTATACAGCAATTTGTTTACTATAAGGGCAGATGTGACTGAAGCCATAGTATAAAATGCACATGTATAATAATCTAGCAAGTCCAAAAGGAAAAGATATATTAGCAGATATTTTTATACACGCACATTTAGACATGGGAGTCACGGTCCTATGCATTTTTCTACATATTTAACACTTTCTTATTAAAAATCAAATTACTTCCCCAAGTACATTATGAAACACTACTAGTAAAGTTTTTTTTCCTTTTCAAAACTCATCAGGTATCCAGAGTAATTAATTTTTCCCAGGTACACTTTGTACCTGGGAGACAAAAACCTCCTGGAAATGTGAGACAAAACCTCCTGAAAAGTTGCTCTTTTAAAAACTGTGTTAACAAAAAGATTTAATATTTCTGTATATTCATTTATAATTCCCATGTTCATAACAGCTGCATTTTACTCTGTAACCTTGGGTAAACTGACTCATCAAGAGTCAGTTTCCTCACATTTAAAACTGGTATTAAAACTAGGACCTAGTTCATGTTGGTTATCATAAAGAGTAATAGTGATAATGTATGTAAAATGCTTAATGTAATCTTACTACATAGTAAGCACTCAATAAAAGTAACTATTACTTTGCTTGCATTTCACCATTGTTTTAATAGTTTTAACACTTTCCAACAAAATTCTAACTTTTAAAATATGCTGCTTTAGAGCATTTAGTAGAGCATATGTTTTTCCAGTTTTTATATTACTAGTTTAATTTTAATTTCTAGAGCTATTCATTTTTGCCATGTAACAGAAATAAAACCAACTGTGAAATACATTTATTTCAATTCCTGTATTTAATGTGTATCAGTTAGTGAAATTATTTAGCTTATTATTATAGTCAAGTACCACTAAGAATAGCCACAGTAACAACAAAAACATCTTTAAAGTGATAATGCTTTACCCTAAGTCTGAAATGGTTGCACATTATAAGAAAAGGATTTCAACTATTAAATTTATGAAGTACTGTTTTTCTATAGGATGAAAGTAAGCTCATGTCCTCACACTCTAATATATAATTGTACATTTTTAAAAAGCCTCAACACACTGCAAGGGGTGGGGGGGAGCAAGGAGGGGTGGGAATTGTATGGGGACTATAACCAAGATGAAAATGCCTACATTGTGCAAAAATGAAAAATGATGTAAAATATATAAAATAAATAAAAAAGCCTTAAAGTGTAACTTTTCAGGAAACTAGGTATGAAATTTAAGGACAGAACTTGCAAATTAGACTAAAATTAGTGGAGTTAATATCGATCAATAAAGAGATGAGTTAAACAGAAACTACATGTCATAGTGTTTCTTTTTAACTCCCACCCTTATTTTCTGAAGCTATGACATGGAGCCAGCTGTACTGTACCTTGATCAGATTGTGTCCTACAGCGTAGACAGCTGCTAAATTTCCCTTCTCTCCAGGGGCATGCATACCTGTCCCATACCCATGCCAGGCAACTAGGTATGGGTTGTGAATTGTAATCCAGTATTTGACACGGTCCCCAAATGTCTGGAAACAGTATGTAGCATAGTCATTGAAGATGCCTATCATGGTGTCATTTTTCCACCCCCCATATTTTTCTTGTAGAGCCAGAGGCAAATCCCAATGGTATAAAGTCACCATAGGCTCAATGTTTCTAAGTATCAGGGCATCAAGAAGATTATTGTAGTACTGGAGACCTTTTGCATTGGCAACTGCTACCACTCCATCAGGAAAAAGCCTTGGCCAGGAAATTGAAAATTGATAAAAAGAAACTCCAATGAAATCCAGCGCTGATAAGTCTTTTTCCAGAAAATTATAACTGTCACTGAAACTATTTGTGCTGTCGATATTTTCAAGGTGTGTATGGATGAAATGATCCCAGATAGAGGGTCCTTTTCCATCTGTCTTCCCGTTGCCTTCCACTTGAAATGCTCCAGTCCCAACACCCCAGAAAAAGTTTTTAGGAAAAGTGTCATAGAGAAACAGCTGACTTTCATTTACTGGACTGAAATTCGGATTTTTAGACCATACGGCTCTTCCGTCTCCAGGGAGTCCAACAACAGCTCGTAGCAAGATAAATGCTGACAGGATGACAGATCTTTGCAATCCCCGGTTGCACATTGTTTTCCTATAGCGTATGTTTCTTTCATCGGCGCTGAAGAAAATCCATTCATTCCCTGGAGATCCTGCCGCACAGCCCGGCTTCATTTGCCACTAACTGCTCCCGACTGTCTTATCAACGCTTCAGTAAAAGCTTGTGATTGTAAAGCCCTGTCAATGATTAGCCTGAACTGTGAGACTTAGGATGGGTCATGGAGAGCAACGTAATACTGAGGGAGGAGGCTGTGTTACAGTCACCAGCGTTTGGTTCTCTCTCCTAATTGGAAAAATAAGATGAAAATGCATCAGTGACGGTAAGTTTGAACACGTAACTAAAATATGCAAACAATGAATAAAAGTGCCATATTTTCTCTGTAGCCTTTCTTGCCGATCCAAATCTTTTTTGAATGTCTTAAACATTATTGAATAGAGTACATGCCTTTTCTATTTTTATATAAAGTTTTTGAGTGGTAATTGTATTATTCCAGATTTCAGGAAAAGTAATCTTACATACAGGTGAATGGCATCCTATACGCTAATAATAAAGAATTAGAAAACATACTTCCACAAAAGAAAAGATATACTTCCACAAAAATGATAACACAATCATGAACAATCTTATTAAATATTACCTATTTAAAGAAAATTACAAAACTTTACTGATAAACTTGAAAGAAGACTTAAATGAACAAATGCAACTTACTGTATGGAAACACTACTTTCTAAATTAATTTATAAATTTGATGCACTTTAAATAAAATCCTGTAATCCCAAAGTTTAATTAAACAAAATTATTGTGACAATTCACTTGAAGAATAAGTAGGTAATAATTACAAAAAAGAAAAAAATAGTGAGGCATATATGACCTTCAGCTATGAAAACACACAAAAAAGAACAATTTAAATAGCATGATTCCAGAATAAGAATAAATAGAAAGAATGATTGTTGAGAATCTATACCCTTCAAATAACTTTTAAAAATGTTATTTTTTTAAACATTTAGAGTATCACTCATTTAATAGGGGCAGAGTGGTTAATCATTTGATATCTGCAGTCAGACTATGATTTTTTAAAAATATTTATTTATTCATATAAGAACTGGGGTACAGGCCAGAGCTGGGGGAGGGAGAGGATTCACCAGAGACAGACTGGGGAACAGAACAAGTAGATTGACTGAAATACACTGCTGAGGGGAGCAGCAGGTGAGTCAGGAGAGGTCTGCTGTGCCATGTGGGTTGCTTCCTGGCTGGGGATCAAAATCATGTTGCAGTGGCTGTGGACAGCTTCATAGGTTGCGTCTTCACCCCTCGTGCCACCAGAGAGGCCCCCAGACTATGAATTTAAGTAGAGCTGACTTGGGAAAACTTACTACACCTCAGTTTCCTCTAATGTAAGAAAAGGCATAGTATAGTCCACTAGTCCCTACTTCATGTATAACTGCGAGGATTAAATGAGTCCCTATGCAAAGCACTTCAACAGAGACTGAAGATACATAGTAAGAATACACAGTAAGTGGAAGGAAACTGTTATTTAGGAATTCATGTTAGAATTTAACATGAAAGACACTCTGTCCTGATGTCTGCCTACATTAACTTTGTTCTCCTCAGTTACCTACATATAGTCCCCTTCCCTGCAGCCACAACAAACAACTTTTAATAAGAGTACATCTTTTTTGTTTCTACTGCTGTGTCTTAGTAGGTCTCTCCTTTATTTAGCTCATTTCTACCTGTTTTTAAAAACTTAGGTAACTCCTTTGGAAAGTCTGAATTTCTAGTTTGATTTGATTTGCTTAAATTAAAAAAAATACAGATTAATCCTCTTGTAAAAAAAATCTTGTACAATCACCTCAGATAAAGTAACTGCAGAGCCCTTACTCCTGTTGTCCATTCTCCAGCTCAAGTTTCCCCAGCACCCACACTGGCCTTTGCAGTCTCCCAGACTTTCTTTCTTCTGTGCTTGTGTTCCTTTCACCTTTTCCTTGAGGTCTGTTTCTTCTTGGACAGGCCAAGTCTTGCAAGTCTACATTTGCCTTCATTTTTCTTTGTGTAATTCAAGGAATTGTATATCATGCCAAAGTCAGTTGTCTCGCCACGACTAAAATGGGTTCTAAAAACAAATACACATTACGTCTGCTGTGGTCTTGTACATTTTGTTTTAGGTACTGATGTCTTTCCACGGTGAAGGATGTCAATGACCATTTGTTCCCACTATTAGTCGTGAACTCATGGGTCTAGATAGTTGCAAGGTCCTTCATCATGGCAGTCGAGCCTCAGGCAGCCAGGAGGAAAAAAGTCACATTGATTAGATTTAGATGAATCTTTTCTGTGTTCCCATGGCAGCCCACACTTTCTCTATGACATTTATCACATAGTAAATCAATAAATCACAGAATAGATTTATATGTGTCCTTTGGTCTGCCATTGTCTCTCTTTTTTAAAAACAGGTCCCATGATTGTTTGGTTCATTATTGGATACCTGGGGCCTAGTAGGCACTAAAGAATGGTGAATGAAGGAATGTATGTATGTGTACTTACCACTACATCTATCACATAATACTGCAATGGTTTGTCTCCTTCCTTAGACAATTAGAATATCTCTTGTCTAAATTTTATCATCGCTTAGCAGAGTAAATGCTTAATCATTGCCTATTGAATGAATGGAGTTAGAACAATCAATTCACAATTTATAAAATAAAAATTTTCAGGTTTATTAAGATATAATTGAAATGTAACATTGTGGGCCTCCCTGGTGACGCAGGCGGTTGAGCGCCACATGATGAAGCTGTCCACAGCTTCTGCAGTGTGGGTTCGATCCCTGCCGGCCGGCAAGAATCCCACATGGCACGGCAGACCTCTCCTGTCTCGTCCACTGCTCCCCTCAGCAGTGTATTTCTACAGTCTGCCTGTTCTGTTTCCTGCTCTGTCTCTGGTGAATCCTCTACCCTCCCGCACATCTGGCCTGTACCCCAGTTCTTGTATAAAAATAAATAAATCTTAAAAAAAAAAAGAAATATAACATTGTGGGCCTTCTTGGTGGCGCAGGAGTTAAAGTCCCAGCACTATCAAGCTATCACCAGCAACTATGGCATGAGTTTGATGCCCAGCTATGGGGCTGACCCACAAGGCACAGCAGACCTCTCCTGCCTCACCCCTGCTTCCCTTAGCAGTGTATTTTTTCAGTCAGTCTGCCTGTTTTGCTCTTCACTCTGTCTTTGGTGAGTCCTTTCACCCCCCTGCACCTCTGACCTACACCCAGTTTTTGCATGCATAAATCAATTTAAAAAATCTTAAAAAAAAGAAATATAATATTGTAAGAGTTTAGGTATATGACTCAATGATCTGATATATGTAAATATTGTGAAATAATTACTAAAAATAAAATTTTATGACATAACATCTCGCAAATATATTTAATTAAAAATATGTAGCCGTAGGAATGGCTATGATGGTAAATTTTATATCATGTATTTTACAATAATTGAAAACCATATTACCACATAAAACTAGAAGGAAACAGAAGTATGTATTAAATTGTATAAATGCATATTTCTATGACCAAATAAATTTGCGAGATGAAAAATAAAAAGCAAATAATAAGCTTGTAAAATGGTGAAACAAATTATTATTAAAGTCAATTTATTATTATAAGAGTAGTCATGCAACTCTGCAAGAAAAACCCTATAGCTTTAAAAGATAAATAGCCAGGGCCTCCCCGGTGGCTCAGTGGTTGAGCGCTGGGTTGCGAAGCTGCCCATGGCCTCAGCGGTGCTGGTTCGATCCCCGGCTGCTCTCTGGCCACCAGAGGAGGGTCCCGCATGGCGCGCAGACCTCTCCTGCTGCCCGCTGCTCCCCTCAGCAGTGTACTTCAGTCCTTCTGCCTGTTCTGCTCCCCGCTCTGGCTCTGGTGAATTCTCTCACCCTCCCGCGCTTCTGACTGTACCCAGTGCATGTATAAACAAAAACAAACAAACACACAAACAAATAAAAAAAAAATGCCTCTATTAAAAAAAAATTAAAAAAAAAATGAAAGATAAATAGCCAGAAATATAACATAAATAAAAGATATACAGAAAAGGAAATGCAACTCTATTTCTAATTAAAAAAAAAACACCAGTTCTTAAAAACACATTAAAAAAGACTGTTATATTTTTACAAAAGCAACAAAAATAAGAAAAGTAACATAAATAAGAATATGTTTGTACAATGCTTATGAAAGCAATTTTCCAATATGCCATGAATCGTAGATTTTTTTAAGTCTTTTAATTAAATATTTTTCAGAAGTTTGTCATAATATGGCCTCCCCGGTGGGGCAGCGAGTTGAGCCCAGCGCTGTGAAGCTGTCCATAGCCTCTGCAGTGTGTATTTGATTCCCAGCCAGCCAGGGAGATACCCACATGGCATGGCAGACCTCTCTTGTCTCACCTGCTGCCCCCCAACAGTGTTTTTGGTTGTCTTTCTGTTCTGCTCCCTGATCTGTCTCTGGTAAATTCTCTCACCTTCCTGCGCCTCTGGCCTGTACCCAAGTTCTTGTATAAATAAATAAATCTTTAGGGCCTCTCCTGGTGGTGCAGGCTGTTGAGCGCTGTGCTGTGAAGCTGTCTGCAGCCTCTGCCATGCCGGTTCAATCCCAGCCAGCCGGTGAGGGTGCCACATGGTGCAGCAGACCTCTCCTGTGGTGCCAGCTGCTCCCCTCAGCAATGTATTTCAATAGTCTGCCTGTTCTGTTCCCCGCTCTGTCTCTGTTGAATCCTCTCACCCTCCCACGCATCTGTACCCTGGTTCTTGCATAAATAAATAAATAAATCTTTAAAAAAGGAAATTTTTTTTTAAAAAAGAAATTTGTCATGATGTATTGATTCTAAATATGTAAAATGCTCTATGTGCAAACTTCTTGCAGCACCATTATTATGACAGAGGGAAATTAGAATTAATTAAAAAAAACTATCCACAGGGGAATAATTAAAGAATGGAATAGCCATTTAATAAAATACTTTAATCATAAATATTTTCACAGAAAATATTTGAAATAAAAAACTAACTGAAAAATCCAGATTATAAGTTGAATAATCAGTATGATTATCATGATATAAGAGCAATTACCAAAACTTAGAATGATAACGTAACACCCACATTTTACTATATTGTGTTTGAATAATGAACAGTAGGTTATATTTTCCTTTATAAAATATACCTAAGTTCAATTATTTAT